GTCTAATGCTTTGTTTGTTCATTTGTCAGAAAATTCTCACCAAATTAATTGAGAGATGGCTTCTTCAATAACGAATTGTAAAAACCACTTTCAATAGGAACATAATTAAATCTGCTTTAATACAGATTACAAAATCATGTAACTGGAACATTTAGCAGTGGTTTATATCATTTAGATTCATTTTTGATAGATCAGTTTAAAGGCGATTTGAGTAGGATCATTGATACACATTTGTCTCACTAATTCATTGTCAATATTCTCTATCTTAAGCTATTAAAATCCATATATGGGTCTATTGGCCCATAGGATGCAGCTCCTATTTATACCCACCCAATCCCAGTCATATTTTTATCATTGTACCTCACTTCACTTCTCTCTTGTCTAATATATGTTCAAATCTTTGTATTTGTAACTCACCCATCTGAAGATGTATTATTAAATACAAAAGTTCTTAAGGAAATTCCTTAATATAAATATAATATATATATATATATATATATATATATATATATATATATATATATAATATATATATATATATATATATATATATATATATATATATATATATATATATATATATATATATATATATATATATATATATATATAGGGGTACCACCACTGGTTTAATTAAAGGGACCCACATCCTCGAAGAAGAAATATATATATATATATATATATATATATATATATATATATATATATATATATATATATATATATATATATACGAACTTGGCTAAAGGTATAACTGATAGATAGCATATGACTGATAATATGGACATTACGGCTGGCTATCTACTGTATCGTTCAAAGAGGAGAACTCTGCTCGTATATACTTATTATTATAAGCTTAGCTGGCAAGCACAGGCAGTGAAGGCTGGCAAGCACAGGCAGTGAAGGCTGGCAAGCACAGGCAGTGAAGGCTGGCAAGCACAGGCAGTGAAGGCTGGCAAGCACAGGCAGTGAAGGCTGGCAAGCAGAGGCAGTGAAGGCTGGCAAGCACTGGCAGTGAAGGCTGGCAAGCACAGGCAGTGAAGGCTGGCAAGCACAGGCAGTGAAGGCTGGCAAGCACAGGCAGTGAAGGCTGGCAAGCACAGGCAGTGAAGGCTGGCAAGCACAGGCAGCGAGAACTTTTAAGCTTAGAGACTGAAAGCTGGTAAGCACAGCCCCCGTGCAGGAGCCCGCGATGAAAGTACACATTACAGAGAAGATTAGTAAAAAATAAAAATCCCCTTTGAAAATTAGTTAACGAGGCGGCGGAACCAATTTTAATAATTAAACTTAGGAATAACAAAAGAGTATATGAAGCTAAGTTCAGCTTCACGTAACTGAAAACCAAGTTCAGCTTCACGTAACTGGAAACCAAGTTCAGCGTCACGTAACTGGAAACCAAGTTCAGCTTCACGTAACTGGAAACCAAGTTCAGCTTCACGTAACTGGAAACCAAGTTCAGCTTCACGTAACTGGAAACCAAGTTCAGCTTCACGTAACTGGAAACCAAGTTCAGCTTCACGTAACTGGAAACCAAGTTCAGCTTCACGTAACTGGAAACCAAGTTTAGCTTCCCGTAAACGAAGCCAAGTTGAACTTCACGTACGCGAGACGCAGCTCTCCCACTGGCGTAAGGCACCGTGGCTGGCAAATGGGAGCTGGACGCCCCAGAGCAGCATCTGCTACATGGGGTAGGGAATTAGGGGGTAGGGAAGATTAGCGTGAGAGAGTCTGCAGGAGCAGGAGGAAGAAGAGGCTGCTGGAGATGACGGGAGAGGAGAATCAAGCCTCACGAGAAGGAGGAGGAGGAAACCTGGGAGCTTGAACAGGAGCTGAGAGACGAGGAGAAGTTCAATCTGTCGGAGCAGGGTATTGAACTTGGGGCTGAAGAAGGGCGAAGGAAGATGGGACAGAGGGAAGGGAAGAAAATAAGGACAGAGAAGGAGATAGTGGTGGAAGGGGGGATGGTCTTCCTGCGACCCTTCCCTCCCTCCCCCCCTCCCATGATAATGAACCAAAAAAGTAATTAATAGCCAGTAGCGGGAGCGACGGCCAGTGTCTCTCGCTAAGAGGGGCTGAGTGCCCGCAAGACCCCAGAGAGGGACCCACTCATAAGACCCCAGAGAGGGGGCTTATAAGACCCCAGAGAGGGGGCTTATAAGACCCCAGAGAGGGGGCTTATAAGACCCCAGAGAGGGGGCTTATAAGACCCCAGAGAGGGGGCTTATAAGACCCCAGAGAGAGACCCCAGAGAGAGACCTGCTCATAAGACCCCAGAGAGAGACCCGCTCCTAAGACCCCAGAGAGTGAGACCCGCCCACATGACCGGGAAGGGATGAGCTATGCCCATAACATTAGACACGATGTCACTGGACATCGCCTGAAAACGTGTATATAAGAACAAAGGGACCGGACGAATGAGGTGACCGGACCAATGTGATGACCGGGCCATGGAGATGAACAAGTGAGGATCGACGTCAAATGATATGTTGAACAACGGGACTCATTGTTTTCAAGTGCCGGATGTTGGGGGTGTGAGGGGTGTGGAGAGGATGAGTAAGGGGGGTGTGTGGTGGTGATGAGTGAGGGATATGTGGTGGTGATGAGTGAGGGGTGTGTGGTGGTGATGAGTAAGGGGGTGTGTGGTGGTGATGAGTGAGGGATATGTGGTGGTGGTGGTGAATGAGTGAGGGGTGTGTGGTGGTGATGAGTGAGGGGTGTGTGGTGGTGATGAGTGAGGGGTGTGTGGTGGTGATGAGTAAGGGGGTGTGTGGTGGTGATGAGTGAGGGATATGTGGTGGTGATGAGTGAGGGGTGTGTGGAGGTGATGAGTGAGGGGTGTGTGGTGGTGATGAGTAAGGGGGTGTGTGGTGGTGATGAGTGAGGGGTGTGTGGTGGTGATGAGTGAGGGGTGTGTGGTGGTGATGAGTGAGGGATGTGTGGTGGTGATGAGTGAGGGGTGTGTGGTGGTGATGAGTAAGGGGGTGTGTGGTGGTGATGAGTGAGGGATATGTAGGGGATAAGAACAGCGGACTTTAAAAGATAAATTGACAGCATGCGCATGCACTCAATCCAGATCTTGACTTCTGGAAGTCAACTCTGATAAAGAAACATAAAGTTCCGGTAGCAAGATCAGTGTAATATGGAGATACGAGAAGATTGATTGATTGATGAAGATTGATTAAGCCATCTATGGGCACGAATAGCCCGAAAGTGGTATATGTTTGGAGTGAATGTAATCTGGGATTCCAGAAGCACTTAAAGTCAGCAGATACAGCTTCCCTGCACTAGGGTGACAGCGAAGCCTAGGCTAAAAACTACAGACCGCTCGCATTAACATCACACGCATAAATATAACTTTTGAAAAAGAGTGATTTTGGAGTCAAATCTCCAGTTTTATGGTGAACTTCTCAACAAAGGTCAATATAGATTTAGAGGGGAAAGTTTCTGTCTGTAAAACTGCTATTCAACGCATATGACTAAGTCACGGAAGCATTAGAAGAAAACAAAATGCAGATGTTGTTTACACTGACTTTGGAATGGTGTTTGATAAGTGAGACCATGAAGTGATAGCCCATAAAATGAGATCAGTAGGAATAACGGGCAAAGTGTACCGGTAAATTTAGAATTTCCTTTCAAACAAAAAACAAACAGTAATAAATAATCAATTAAAATCAAGTCCGAGCGCAGTGAAAAGCTGTGTACATCAGGGCATAGTCCTTGCAACACTGATATTTATCATTCTCGTATTAAATACACACACAGATACAAGTCACAGCTTCGTGTTATCCACTGCAGGTGATACAACAATTAGAATGATAATTACAACAATTAGAATGAAAATTACAACAATTAGAATGATAATTACAACAATTAGAATGAAAATTACAACAATTAGAATGATAATTACAACAATTAGAATGAAAATTACAACAATTAGAATGAAAATTACTTCAGTAGAAGATATTGATAAACTACAAGCTGGTTTAACAAAGTCTTCAATTGAACAACGGAAAATAATATGACTTCAACAGTAATAATTTCCAGGTACTAAGGAATATTAGAAAGAAAGAACCTACGCGAAATACATGGCTCAAGACACAATCATATCCACTCACAGAAGGAAAACAAGATGTAACATATCTGAGAATAATGATGTCTGACGCCCTGACGTTTAGTGAACATAACTAAGGAAACCAAGCATCAACTAGGAAAATGATAAGATGGATTACGAGAACCTTCAACTCCAGGGATCCCAATTTAATGTTAATGCTATTCAAATCACTGGTGCCGTTCCGTCTTGAGTATTGTTCGCTACTCACTTCCCCCTTCAGAGCAGGAGAGATTGCTAAAATAGAGGGAATACAGAGAACACACACACAGCATAGACGCGATAAAGCACCTAAACTATTGGGATCGTCTCAAAGCTCTCAGGATGTACTCTCTGGAAAGGAGACGAGAGAGGTATCATATAATACCTGGAAGGCCAGGTCCCAAATTTACAAAGTAAAATAACAGCATACTTGAGCGAAAGAAATATTGCTGGAATGAACGTGGCTTCCTCCTTGAAACAATTAAGTTCTTGCAAGAAGTGCTGGACCAACCAGGCTGTGGTGGATATGTGGGCCTGCGGGCCGCTCCAAGTAACAGCCTGTTGGACCAAGTTATCACAAATCAATTCAAGTTCGAGTCTGGCCTGAGGTCGGATTCGGGGTAGTAGAACCAAAGATAAACGCCGTTGGTATATAGGGAATGAGGGAGAGGTATGGAAGGGCTGAGGGAGAGGTGTGGAGAGGAAGATGGAGGGAGGATAGGAAGTGGGCAAAGGTTGAGAGGGGGGAGGGAGGGATATTGGGGTATCAGCCCAAGAATGACCTCGGGCACCCGCCAGCCCCGCCCCCTCATGCCCACCAGTACCCTGATTGGCTGCGGCGATCACGTGACCAACACCGAGCACATATAAGCAGGCGGGCCGAGGTGTGTGTAACAGTTTACAACACAAACATGTCAGTGTCGGAGTGGCTGTACCCAGCGGCCCATCCGGGCACCTACCCGCACTACCCGGCACCCTTCACTGCTCCTGGGCACCTGAGCCCGGCTGCCACGCCCAGCCCCCAGTGCCAGCCGGCCCTCACAGCCTCGCCCGGATGGTCATCCTCACTCACCACCTCATACTCCGAAGGCCGTCCGAGTCCGTCCTGCTCTCCCATGAGCAGCTGTGGGAGTCTCGAAGTCGGATCACCTCGTTCCTGGACAGTTAGCGGCCCCGCGTCATGGTCGTGGGGCGCCCCTGGCACTACCCACCCGCTACTGGCCGCCGCCGCCGCGGCAGTAGTCAGCACCTCGTCAGAATCATCGGTGCCGTCAGCGTGCCGCCAAGCCAAGTGCAGAAGGAAGCCGCCGAAGTCCGTTGGTCGGGACGTGCTGAAGAAGCGACGACTCGCGGCTAATGCGCGCGAGCGGCGCCGCATGAATGGATTAAACGACGCCTTCGACCGTTTACGCGAAGTGATCCCGGCTCTCAGTGGTGACCAGAAACTGTCCAAGTTCGAGACCTTACAGATGGCTCAGACATATATTGCTGCCTTGGCCGAGCTCCTCCACTAGGTGCCTTGGCCGAGCTCCTCCACTAGGTGCCTTGGCCGAGCTCCTCCACTAGGTGCCTTGGCCGAGCTCCTCCACTAGGTGCCTTGGCCGAGCTCTTCCATTAGGTGCCTTGGCCGAGCTCCTCCACTAGGTGCCTTGGCCGAGCTCCTCCACTAGGTGCCCTGGCCGAGCTCCTCCACTAGGTGCCTTGGCCGAGCTCTTCCACTAGGTGTCCTGGCCGAGCACCTCCACTAGGTGCCTTGGCCGAGCTCCTCCACTAGGTGCCCTGGCCGAGCTCCTCCACTAGGTGCCTTGGCCGAGCTCGTGCTTCAGGTGTCGGCGCCGAACAGCCACGTCTTAATTATCTAGTCAGGTGAGTTGACAACTCAACCTTTGAGTGACTTCAACAGTACAGTAAATACTAATCGCTAAATATATTGAAATAATTCACACACACTTTGCAATATATATTATACATTTTATATATATATATATATATATATATATATATATATATATATATATATATATATATGTCGTACCTAGTAGCCAGAACTCACTTCTCAGCCTACTATGGAAGGCCCGATTTGCCTAATAAGCCAAGTTTTCATGAATTAATATATTTTCTCTATTTTTTTTCTTATGAAATGATAAAGCTACCCATTTCATTGTGTATGAAGTCAATTTTTTTTTATTGGAGTTAAAATTAACGTAGATATATGACCGAACCTAACCAACCCTACCTAACCTAACCTAACCTATCTTAATAGGTTAGGTTAGGTTAGGTGCCCGAAAAAGTTAGGTTAGGTTAGGTAGGTTAGGTAGTCGAAAAACAATTAATTCATGAAAACTTGGCTTATTAGGCAAATCGGGCCTTGAATAGTAGGCAGAGAAGTGCGTTCTGGCTACTAGGTACGACATATATATATATATTAAAATGTTAAAAATTATAACTAATATGCATTGTTTCGCAATTGCAGAGATCTACTCACCTGAAAAAATAAGAATCTCCATAGCAATCAAATATTCAAAGCCGAGTGCCCGGCCAGGCACCCTGTTGACTCGTCGTGCCCAACGCTGAGTGTAAGTGTCAAGTGCCACGATCACAACTCTCCGTCTGTGTCATTCTGTGTCATACGCTATCTGGGATAACAAGCTCCCCGAAGCTGTGGTGGAGTTGGACGAGCGGGATGCGTGCAGTAGTAGTAGTGGCACTGGTGAGAGTGACGTCTGTGGCACTGGTGAGAGTGACGTCTGTGGCACTGGTGAGAGTGACGTCTGTGGCACTGGTTAGAGTGACGTCTGTGGTACTGGTGAGAGTGACGTCTAGTGGTTAGAATGACGTCTGTGGCACTGGTGAGAGTGACGTCTGTGGCACTGGTGAGAGTGACGTCTGTGGCACTGGTGAGAGTGACGTCTGTGGTACTGGTGAGAGTGACGTCTAGGGCACTGGTTAGAGTGACGTCTGTGGCACTGGTGAGAATGACGTCTGTGGCACTGGTGAGAGTGACGTCTGTGGCACTTTTGAGAGTGACGTCTGTGGCACTGGTCATGTCTGCCGCAGGAGTAGCAGACGGTAGCCGTGTCTGCCTCTGGAGTGTCAGACGATAGCCGTGTCTGCCGCAGGAGTGTCAGAGAATAGCCGTGCCTACTGCAGGAGTGGCAGCACCAGTGCTCGTGGCAGACGACCGCTGCGGCTGCGGCAGACAGCGATCCAACACCACCGCGCTTCATTCTTCACCTTATGGAATCAATTACAAAGTATTAACTCTTAAGCCCTCCAGTCTACCTAAGCCAAAGATAGTGTTAAGAACCTGTTCTAGCAAGTATATGCGCTATACAAAAGACATTCAACCCCAAATGTTAGATAAATAAAGTTTGAAACCTATTTATACTGGATTTTACATTACGAATTATTCCTTCCCCTTAGAGCAGGAACCAATTCAAGGACTCGACAAAGGACGTTGTATAGAGCTCCAGAGGCCTCAACAGCTCTAATTACCTGGCTAAGACGAGGGGGTTACCTAGGCCTTTGAAGATCAATTTCTATTGATCCTTCGAAATAGTGCCGCGGTCCACCGAGGCCGCCTGGCACCCTACACGGCACTACAGGTGCCATAATCTTTGCGAAACACCTTTAATTTAGACGTTTTTGACTGCAGCTTCAACAAACACTCTAATGATGATTCTAAGATTAATTATAATACTGTGAGAAAGTCCACTGAATAACACTAATATTAATCATTCTAACTATTATCATATATATACGAATAATAATAATTATACACATTTTTATAAAAATAATAATTAGAATATTAAAACAATGAGAATTAATTTACTGATAATTCTGTCCTCATATACCTTCCATGTGTTATATAGTTATGCTGACCAGTTCTTTCTTCTGATAGTTATCTTAAATTTTAATAATAATAACATAATTAAAATGCAAATAATTAAAATAACAGGAATAATAATAATAATAATGTTTGTAACAACAACGATTTTTAAAATATATTAACAATAATAATATAGAATCCTTCAGATAAAGATAATTACATTAAACAATCCCTTACTAATAATAATATTCTTACTGGACGTATTCTTGAAAACACACATTCCTTGGACAGTTTGTCTCTCTTATGGACAGTTTCTCTCTCTTGGACAGTTTCTCTCTTATGGACAGTTTCTCTCTCTTGGACAGTTTCTCTCTCTTGGACAGTTTCTCTCTCTTGGACAGTTTCTCTCTCTTATGGACAGTTTCTCTCTTATGGACAGTTTCTCACAACCTGATTATGGTCCAGGATGGACCGAAACGTCGTCGTTTCTTCATAACTAATAAGTTTGTGCTTTGGTCTCCATATCATCAGCCACGTTATTGTGTCTCCTCGTCTGTGACTCCTGTTTCCTATATTTAGTCAAAAACACATTTTGGTAACACAGAACACGAACAAAACTGTACCACTGGGATAACCTAGTACATCAGAGCGTGTTTACAGGGGGGACCCAGAGGAAGATCTGTTTACAAGGGGGCCCAGAGGAAGATCTGTTTACAAGGGGGCCCAGAGGAAGATCTGTTTACAAGGGGGCCCAGAGGAAGATCTGTTTACAAAGACCCTAAAACAAACCCTTATAATTCCAAAGCAGGAGTCCAAGAGTGACCCAAACTTGGGAGTACTTGCTGGGCCTCGCAAACACGCCCTGTAGATCGTCATTACGTGAAGGTGGTGACTGCCTGTACCAGCGACCTAGATTGTATAGTGGTAGTTAGCGACCACGCTGTTAACTTTATAGTCATTCAACTACAGTATGCTTCCTCTCTGCCTCCATTATCACGTAGAGGTCAAGAATGTATGTATACAGTGTGTGCGTTCAGAATGAACCCTAAATCCGACTACAGACTAACAAGAAGTCTTTTTTAGGGAAGGATGATGGATTCTTTTCGAAGTGTTCTTAGTTAATAGCCTCCATAATCCCTCACTAGTTCCGCCTCTTTCCTAGGTAGGTCTCGCAGTAGTAACTAGGGTCTCTAGGATTACCTTTTTTGTCTATCAGCATTTATAACTTCCAGGATAACTTTCCAGGTCCACCAGTACTTATAGTTTCCAGGATAACTTTCCAGGTCCACCAGTAGTTATAGCCTCCAGGATAACTTTCCAGGGTCCACCAGTAGTTATAGCCTCTAGGATAACTTTCCAGAGTCCATCAGTAGTTATATCTTCCAGGATAACGTTCCAGGGTCCACCAGTAGTTATAGCCTCCAGGATAACTTTCCAGGTCCACCAGTAGTTATAACTTCCAGGATAACTTTCCAGGTCCACCAGTAGCCATAGCCGCCAGGATAACTTTCCAGGTCCACCAGAAGTTATAACTTCCAGGATAACTTTCCAGGTCCGCCAGAAGTTATAACTTCCAGGATAACTTTCCAGGTCCACCAGAAGTTATAACTTCCAGGATAACTTTCCAGGTCCACCAGTAGCCATAGCCTCGAGGATAACTTTCCAGGTCCACCAGTAGCCATAGCCTCCAGGATAACTTTCCAGGGTCACAAGTAGCCATAGCCTCCAGGATAACTTTCCAGGTCCACCAGTAGCCATAGCCTCCGGGATCCTCCACCCTGTACTTGCGTCTAACCTTTTCCCTTGTAGTAGCCGGCTTATAACCAGAATTAACCCGGTGGCCTCAGTAGCCCGCGTCGTGAGAACACCTGTCCTAGCCCCTCCCCAGCCAGACCTCTCCTCCCTATCCCAGCCATAGTCCTAGCCCCAGGGGCCCCCAGCCGCGACCCACGCAGCGGGAGGAGCGAGCGCCACCAGGGGAACCCTCATCAGCTTGAACCTTGCAATTGATTCTACACGCTCGTGACTAGGATCTTCAGCTGTTTAAATAAAAACTCCGAAGGTTAGATGCACGAAGGCCGTTAAGGAAGCAGTGAAGATTACCTTTCGAGAGCTATACTATATATATAAACCCCGGTTTAGAAGCTTGCTTCAACCATTATATTTTCTCATATATAGTGTTCTCAGACCAGCTTGTTCCAACTTTTAATTTAGACGATCAAGACAAAGTACACAAATATCTCCGTGGGCAGAGCAATCGAGGGCTCGCTTGGAGTGTGGGTGGTGGCTTCTGTTGTGTGTGGGTGGTGGCTTTTGTTGCGTGTGTGTGTGTGTGTGTGTGTGTGTGTGTGTGTGTGTGTGTGTGTGTGTGTGTGTGTGTGTGGCTGGTGGCTGTTGTTGTGTGTGTGGGGATTGTGCCTTCTGTTGTGTTAAGAGAAAGTCCAATACTAGAATATATAAACACAGCCCTTGAGTTACAAAGTTACAGAAGGCAACAAATACTCTGGGACACACACACACACACACGCGCGCGCGCGCACACACACACACACACACACACACACACACACACACACACACACACACACACACACACAGAATAGTCTTCAGAGTACCTCAGACGCACTCACAATCTTACAAAGTACGCTCACACGCAAGCTTTCATTTTGGGTCTGCTCTCAATTATTGTGACTCTTGCTGTTAGTCAGGAATTAGTGGATTCCCTATCTCGCAACGGTTCCCGAAGAGCATAATAGTTTTCACCTTGTTTTCCATTCGTTACCGTCGTTTTGAATAGGTTAGGTTATCATATACGTTCGTACTCTTTCTTCTCCCTCTCATTTGTTGTCTCTTTCTATTTCTGTTTTGTTTTTATTTGGTTTGTTCTCCATTCTCCTGCCTCTCTTAACTCCTGTTTAATATTATTTTTCATCATTCCCTTATATATGTTTTTCTGTCACTTTCGGATCAATATTCCTGCGTCTACGTTTCCCCTTTCCTGTGCATTGACAGTTCATCCCTGTAATACAACGTTACATTTTGACGTATACTTTACCTAAGGCCAAAAATTGTCGTACTAGAAAATGGTAGCGGCTCGTGAAATTGACATACTGTCCCGTTTTCTGTTCGTGGGGTCCTCTGGTTGTTTAGGATAATGGCCCTTAGATACGACTAAAGTGCCATTTCTATCTCCTTCTTAAACTTGTTTCCGTCCCCTCTGACTGTGTCTTAATCTGGGTGTGAAACTATATCTGTCTAATGATTAAGAGACGAGGCAATTATCAGCCAGGAGGTAGTTAGGGGGGGGGGGGGGGGCATGCTGGGTGATGTATCTCGCGCCTCTGCCAATTGGCCAGTTCGGGCATGTAACGAGGGCGGCACTGTTCGATCAGCACTGTTTCATCAGCCTGGGAGGGAGGTGTGGGTGGTTAGCACTCTCTGGGGCACCATTCCTTTTCCCCGTCCCATCCCAAATCCTTATCCTGACCCCTTCCCAGTGCTATATAGTCGTAACGGCTTGGCGTTATCCCCTGATAATTCCCTTCCCTGAGGCTGACCTGATTGTTGTGGCCATAGAAAATATTACCATTTGCTCTCAAACACAAACAACACGAATACAATGTTGATGTATTCAATTATACAGCATTTTATTCCCTGTCATACATGATGCATTAAGCATACACAATAATCTGGATAATTAAACAATTGTATAAATGTATTCCCCCCCATTTGGTTGAGCTCTGCTCTATCGGCCCGCCTCTCAACTCTCAATCAACTGTTACTAACTACTAACTATTTTTTTCCACACACACACACACACACACACACACACACACACACACACACACACACACACACACACACACACAGGAAGCAGCCTGGCCAGGGTTCGATTCCCGGACCAGGCAGAAACAAATGGGGCAAAGTTTCTTTCACCCTGATGCCTCTGTTACCTAGCAGTAAACAAGTGCCTGGAAGTTATCCAGCTATCA